TTAACATTTAACCTTTATACTAACAAATCAAAATTACACTAAAATTTAATCTTTATATCAGCCAATCAAAATTATATCAACATTTAATCTTTACACCAACCAATTAAAATTGCGCTAACATTTAGCATTTGTACCAGTTAGCCTTTGCACCAGAATTTAGCCATTACGTCCAATTGCACCAAGGCTAATTCTTGAGCTCAATTGGCTAAATTAAATCTGGTTAAATTCCTGGCTCAATTCGTATTGCGCCTCCCATTCCTAGCTTGCACACTACTAAACTGAAATAGATTTTTTAATGTAACTTGTCAAGAAATAAAAGAAATAGTTTATTAAAATTTTGTGTAGGAGTATAACAATAGTAATATATTATTGCTTTGATTTATCTTATCACTTTACTTTCTCCTACACTAAAATATTTATTAAAATTATTACAACAATAGAGATATATTACTGTGTTAGTATATCTTATTCCTATTGCTATATTATAAAATTATATTTAAGTAAAAATAAAACTAAAATTAAAATTGTTCAAAATATCAAATAAAATATTTTTATTTTAATTCTTGTTCTTTTTTTTGGTGAAAAGGAATCTCCTCTTCTTTTTTCTTTTTTTTTCATAGCTATTTTGTATCTTACCCTTTGTTTACTTTTATCCACCATCATCCATAAATACAAGAATATTATCTTTCATCTTGGATGAAGATAATTTCAATTAAATAGTAACACATATTATCCTCTATTATCCCCATGACTTCAGCTATTTTCGTATTATCTCAATATTAAAAAAGCAATCACATTATGACAAATCTGATAATTGCAAATTCTGATTGTAATATTTGTCATGGTTTAGACACATGTCACGTACTTATATCCAATGATTTTTCTCAAAAAATAATATCACGATGTGTTTAATATACTACCTAATTATGTTTGATAAATTACACAAATACTTTTAACACAATTCTAATGAATGGAACATTAAGAAATTTTTAGATAAATGTAGTACTGAGACATTTGATAAGAAAATAGATGATTACCTTTGGTACCTTGATATGATAAATAGTAATGAGAAAGGCAAGAGGAAGAAAAAAGTAAACTTTCTTCTTAACTAATATAAAAAAGCAAATAAAATTTTTGTGACTCTTGTGATAAAAAATAGTGACGTGATGAGGTGAAACCTACTTGGTTTCCTTATTTCCTTGTCATTCAAAATCTTATATCTTTATTTAAAGACATTTATTAAGTCACAAAACTAGTGTTGGAGCACAGGTGACCTTGCGACTTACTCAGTTATTTGATGTAAAAAGGTCTGTAGGATGATAAGCATCTGAAAAGTCCACTTGTCAAACTGGTACTAGATCCACTAGACTCAGATGACCCTCTTGATCAACATGACTATCAGTTACCTAATGTTCTATTGGGATAAGCTTTTTAGTTAAGATTGTTACTAATTTCTTGAATTTTCTATTTAAAAGTATTTGAGTTGATTATAAACTGGTACAAAAATATGATAAAAAATACATGAATAAGTAGATTCTTTTCAACCAACTAATATTTACAGAAATTACAAGTGGCAGGAATATCTATAGTAGAACGATAAATAGCGATATCAATTTATCTAAAAAAAATAATGAAGAGAAGATACCAATTAATATTTTTTTCTTTAACTAGAAACTTAAAATCAACAGTATTAATTTTTATATTTTATTAGAATAATGAAATTTTAACTAAGTAGACAAAAAGAAAATTACGCAAAATAAAAAGTGGAAGAAAAATTTCTGATTACTGTGAACTTTTCAACAATGAAAAAAATAAAATTAAATCAGATATTAAAGAGTCATTTGATAAAGAATATGGTAAAATAAAGGATTATCTAAAATGAAAATTCAATTGTACAGGTTGAGTTATAGAGGATATTTTATATAAATGTATATCTGATTTTACATCAGAACAGTAAGTTTATTGGATTAATATTTTTAGAATTTTTCTTATAAATCTAATAACTAACTTGTTTAATATGTAATAGTTTAATTCATTCCTTTACTATAGATATGGATGATCCAATAATCCAAGAATTTTTTTTTCTCAGGAATTACAAGAAATTGAGGAAACGAATATCAAAGAAAATCTGAACTTAAATTCTAAACTTTATAAAAATCTAGTATATTTTTATAATAAGGTTGGTTTAAAATATTATTAAAAATTGTTATCATCTTATTGTTAACATATTTTATATATAGAATAATATTGAAGAAATAAGAAAAATCATGAAAGAAATTGATTACAAAGAATACAACTTTGAAGTAGATACTCTTAAGTATTCAGTTCACAGCCTATAAGTATAGTATTAAAGTTATATTAACTTATGAATGGTTATTTAGTACAAGATGATTTTATTTACTTCATTTGCAAGGTACGACAATATGAACATACTCCAAATGCTTTTTCTCTAGATCATTATGAAGCATGATATAATGTTAATATCTAGGTCCCATTATCAATAGAACCTTTGATAATATATCAAATGTTGATATTGCTTAGTAAGTAGTAATACTGAAAGATTCTAGAATTATATAAATACTTTGTTAAATGTAACATCTATTAGGGGTGAATTAGCAAGTCTCATAAGTTCTGATTGAAAAAAATAGAAATTATACTATAGATATCCAAAAAAAAATAGGCAGAATAGGTGATGCAATAATTAAAAAGTTGTCAAAGGGGATAAAACTTGAATTTGAAGATTCTGAAGCTGGAAGATATTACGAGGGACAAGGTGCAACCAAGTAACTTCACGAATCGTGATTAAAACTTTCAAAGATGATACATGATATATTTGTTAACTTATATAAGAAAACAGATTGGGATCTGAAAAAAATAGAAAAAATGAAAACAGTGGGTTATATTCATGGTAATATATATTATTATTTTATTATTATAGATTATTCAGAAACTTGTGTTTCCAATTGCTTAAATTTTATATTTTGCAGGTCTAATTTTAATGATTATGACACTAGATCTTTTAGCTGGTTATGTAACTTGTATTATAAAAGTGAACTCTATTACATATAAGATTTAATAATGTAATAGAATTGATCACAACAGTTTGGAAGAATAAGATAGTATCCATATTTGATTTATTTCATTTTAATATTCAAGATTACTGAATTGATATTATTTATAGATGTGAGTTGTTAATACAATAGCTACAATAGCATTATTAAATAACACAGAAAAAGATGTCATTGTTAATCATCTGAGAAATGTGTTAACAATTAAAAGAAATAGAAATAATCACACTAATCAAATCAAAAAAATTCTTTTAGAGAATTAAACTACACCAGAAAAGACTTAGAAAAAAAAGATTGTTAAATAAATATTATATAAAAATAAAATAAATAAAATAAAGATTTGTTTACTAATCAAATAACAGTTTTTTATTACATAAAAATTATATAACTTTGATAATGATAATAAATAACATTTGAATAATTCACATTGTATAAAAGTTATCATTAAACATGCAATCTGAAATTAATTTATTGAAACAAAAAAATGTTAGACTTATGGCTAAAATTGCAGAATTGGAACTGATTACAAAAGAAAAAAATGAGCTTGAGGTCAGAATTATGGAATTAGAACAGATTGCAAAGTTAAGTCAAACAGAAAATGCTGAGCTCAAGATAAAAATCACAGAATTAAAACAATCTGTTAAAAATATTGAAGAGCAAAATTAAATAGTTACTAATGATTTAAAATCTCCAGAATATTCTACTCCATTATCTAACAAGAATTATTCAAATGGTGAAAATACGCAGATTAAAGATTTTTTAACTCACCACGAAGTGGATCAATCTATAATTAGCACTGACTTAGTAACTTCAGAACAGGTAGTTAATACAATTTCCAATATATCTAACCTTAATGAAACTTGCTCCAAAAAATTCAAATTATTAGAAGATAAAGAAATTGATGTCTTTTTAGATTTAGAAAATAAGAAAAAGGTTAGTAATGAGATAAGGCAGAGAAATATGAAAAAAAAGCTATTACATAATAATAAAGTTTTCACTTCTCAAAATCAAGATCTATCTTAATTAATCAGGATACCTCAATGGAATCTGAAAAGACAATAAATTTATCATTATGTAATACAAAAACTGTGACAAAATGTCACAATCTTAATAATTCTGATATTACCTTTGAAATAATTGAATTAGACAATTAAATTATGGAAGATTTAATACAAGAAATAACCTATAATCAAGCAAAAAATATTCATCAAAAAATTTTTGAAAACAAATATATTCAAATATATTTGAAGTGAATATATTTAATCATCTACGCATTTATCTACATTAAATATTCAAATTTACATATTCAAATAAATATGTAAATATATTTGCATATATTCATTTATTCAAATTTATCCAAATATATTTTTTGAATATATTTGCATATATTTGTATATTCTAATTTATTTAAATACATTTTTCAAATATATTCATATATATATATGTAATTCGAATTTATCTAGATTATATTTACACGCAAAATTATTTTGAGATCCCGAAATTGTAATTTCAGAAAAAAAAAATCAAAATAGTTTTTCATAGACATCAGAAAATTTTTAGGAACAAATATATTTAAATATTTTTCAGTTTAGAAAAAATATAAATAAATTTATGAATTTATACAAATATATTCGTATATATTTAGATTTTTTCAATTTTTAAATATTCAATATTACTATATTTTTTTTATCCTTTTCGTTGTCATTACATTTTCACTATTGTTCACATCCATTACATCCTGTTAATGTTAATCTTCATCTATATAGTTTCCTTTTTAATTGTCACTGTTCCCTTCTTCTATTCCTTTTTCTCTTTTCTTGATATTACTTATCAATATTTATTATTACTTACTTACATTTATCCATTTACCTTGTATTATTCACTTTGTTTTCATCCTCTTCACCATCTCCTCTGTTTCAAATTCGTCCTAAAAATCTTGATCTTTTATTTTCTTTTTCTACTTATTTTTATAAATTCTTTCAGCTACATCTGTCACATGCCACGTGACTTCTGATATATTATGAATTGCGGATGTTATGATCTACTGCGGATTACTGCAGAAATTGTTATTTTGCTTAGATGGTGATCACTCTTCCTAATGAAAAACTACTCACCAAGGTAAAGATACAAATATTTTAAATTGCCATTACTTCTACAGTAGCCAAGAAGCTAAACAAGACTGGAATTGAATCTATTTTATTATTTTTTTTTTTTTCTTTCTTTTTTCTCCTTTCACCATATAACCAATTGATAGATTAATTTATATTTTTAGAATAAAATTAAAATATCTATAAAAATAACTTTAATTTTTCTTCTTCATGTATGGTTCAATCAGTTAATCATTCATTCAATAGATCAATTAATTAGTTAATAAAATAATCAATTAGTGATTATTGAGTTTTGATTAATCCTTTAGATAATTTTTAAGTAAATTTAGGATAGATTTCTTTACTTTCTTTATTTCTTTTTGTATTTTCTCTATTTTCTTAATAAAATCTTTATCTTGTCTATAAATAAG